GATCTGCTGGGGTTTTTGACACAGTCTGGGAAAGAATGACCTGGGAGACAAGCGACACTTCATTTAGAGATCGAAATGAACAGGCAAGTAAGACCAAAAGAAACCTCGAGGCCTTAGCTCTCCAAATATAAATTCCTCTTGAGGCTTGACTTTGAGTTCCTATATATGAAAGCAAACTTTCCCTCAAAATACAGTGCTGAAAGATTTTAAAGACACAAATAAAACTGCATGCAATACAATGGCCTCAAGTACTTTGGCCTCTCTAGAATTATCTAAATAAAGAAGAAGGTGAAAAATCTTCCCAAATGGAGAAGAGGAAGTACTCAGAGGGAGCTCAAAGGTGGAATGCAGACCTAGTGCCTGTAGAAAGGAATGGATAGTTCATGAAATACGCATCTAAATGCTTGTGGCTTTTTGTTTGCTTGGGGTTATGGTTGAAAGGCATGACCATGTTGCTTGAGCAAATGCTGAAACTATGAAGTAGGAGTCATGCTTTGTATCGTATATTCTTTTATGTAGAATTAACTGATGCATCAATCATTTCCAATTAGGCCAAAGTGCTCACAATTGAGAAAAAAAATACTTAGCTGTATAAGCAAGCCAGACATTGTTCCTTCAAGAAGTCTTACTTCAATCCACATATCCAGAGGAATAAATATTCGTACTTTTTGTTTTACTTTTTAACATCATTGAAATCTTTTTTATTTCTACATCTGCATCCCTCCATCCCAAGAGTCGAAGACAATGCTTTATGTAACTCTTGGCTTTAGGGCCGAGCTCGGCATTTGACACGCAGTAAGTTCCCAGCTACTGAGTTCTTGTGGATGCGGCCGTTGTCTTACACATGGAAAGTGGGATGCCCACACTGCGAGACGTGTCATAAGATGTGAACTTTATGCTGAGTATAAAATTGAACAAATGTTTCCACACATGAGCAGCCCCATTTTCACCACCAAGACATTTTGTCAAAAGGAACTGGCAAAATGTAACACGACAGGATACAGAAAAGAATGTGGGCTACCATGACACAGGACGGTCACCACTGAAGAAATTTGAGTTTCTATTCAGCCAGTGAGACGCATTTACTTCAAAAGCACAGTCATAACTTGTCCCATGGTGCAGATAGGAGGTAAAGTGGGAATAAATTATCTTCATCTCACTTGTAAGTTTATTCACCTAGCTTTCTACCAGTTTTGTCAATTTAAAAATTTGAAACTGGACCAGCGAGATAGCTCAGTGGACGAAGTACTTGCTTAGGCAACTTCAGGGGCCAGGAATCGATCCCTGGT